ATTATCCAAAACAGCCATCTTGAAATTTAACCATCATTTTGCGTTTATAATATCCCATAGAAATAACATCGTCCCTGGAAGCAATTCTAGAAGATGCCATTCTCTCTCCCAACAAAGTTTGTCGTCACAGTCAGGAACAACATTTACGAGTTGATTATTACTAATATAGGATTGTCAGGAGCCATTTCAGGCTTCTCCTTTCTCACAGGGCATTGAAGTAAAAATCTTGAGACAGAAAACTTAAAGTTAGCCAAATCATTATGTGCTGATCGTGGAGACTCAAGCTCTGGAAAGTACCACAAAGTGTCTTCAGGGCTTGCTGCTATCACTAACAGCAGGTGTTCTAGCCACTGACCTTGCAACTGCCCTGCTTAGCTCTCAAACTGCCCCACTTAGTTGCCTAGCTACCAAGACCCTCCTTCCCTTCCCCCTTTCCTGAGTTCCCCCTGCCCGAGTCCCTTTCTGAGGAGTATTTAAGGCATGAAACTTGCTTCAATAAACGGATGCCTTGACAAAATACTGCTTGGCATCCGTTTCTCTTTCCTCCCAAGTCTTTCAGATAGTGCCTCTTCAAGACCCTGGAGTAACTTAGGACCTGCTGGGTGGGTCATAGGATTGGGTGAAATGATGTACACCCAGAGATCTCAAAATGAGCGAAAATGGAATTGGATAATAGGTAGATTACTTACTCCTACTAATAAGTTTGTAATAGAAGGAATACTTGTGAAATATTTTTTATGGATTTACATTGGTATACTTTTGTATATTGACACAAATTCGAATTATATTTATTATATAGACTGTTTTGATTTTTGTTTAGAATATTTGTAACAACTATATAAGGTTATTATGTCAGATTGTATAAATGTATGATTCTACCTGTTTAAAACATATTTTTATTGATGCAATTTTATGATATATTTATCATATTGCATTATATTACTCTACCTCTGATCAAGATTTTTATACATTGTTTACATTTTGAAGTCATTGTCCTGCTTTACTGCATAGTTCTTTAAAGATTGTTTTATATTCTGATATGAAGTCTTATTCTTCAACACTGTGATGAGACTTTGGTTGATTGGTCAGTCAGTTGTCTGTCAACTACTACACTTTTTGGAAGCTGCTAGACTGCACTACCTGCCTACTCAAGTAATATTATTGCTCTTCTCAGGTCTTTGATGGGGTTGAAGATGAGATAATCATACTTACCATCCTCTTATGAACTAGTTAAGCCATTTCTACTACAACATGGACTCCTTAGGATAAAATGCTTATCAAACCATTAGGATGTATTCCTTCCTTAATATTGATTATGCTTATTGTAATTCTAACTTTAATTTTGACATCTTGTGTACAGAGTTTTGTATAGGGTTTGGAATTTCGTATTAAGTTAAATGGGTAGGTGCTGTGAGAGCTCCTTCAGTCAACAGCTTTAAAATATCAATGCACTTGGGCATGGTCTCTTACAGTATGAATGAATCTATAAAGGGTATAGTTGCTATTTTGAATCCAGTTCTTGATTCTGGATGCTAGCTATATTGTATATGAGATCCATTGCTCTGTAGGTGCTCATCTGACCTATAAAAGCCCAAGGTATTCTTACACTCTAACTTGGTGTTTTCAGAAGTCAAAGATTCAATTAGTACTCACATAGTTCAGGGTCTGTCACTCTGACTTGTACAGCCTTCAAAATTCATCATTAAAACATGAACTCAGTGTTACATGATGAACTTAGAATGAATGCAGCTACATTAGGTAAAATCAAGCACTTCCGTCTCAAATGTTTCATGTGTAATTATTGGTTTGGGAAGATTGGGAGATATGGTATAAATCTTTAATTTTCTTTTGGAAAATGTGTGGATTGTTTTTAATTAAATATCATAAATCAGTCTGCCTTAGCAAGAGGAAGTATTTCATTCAGCTACAAAACTAAGAAAAGTTCCATATTTCAGCTATTCATTTTATACTATCACTTTGTTTAATTCACCCACAAATGGCTGTGAATCAAGGATTTTTTAATTGTTTTTTATTCAACTATATTTATCCACTATTCACCCTTCCTCCCCCATCCCATTGTCCCATGATTCACATGTTCCAAATTTACTAAGATCTTGTCTTTCTCTATGTCCTATATAGAATAGATTTATGTATGTCTCTGTTTGTTTCCTCTTTGTTGTATATGTTCTGGGCATTGTGAATTGTAGGCTGACTGTCCCCTGTTTTATATTGAAAAGCCTCTTAGGAGTGAGTACATATATTTTTTCTTTCTGGTTCTGGGTTAACTCACTCTTTTATGATGTTTTCTAGGTCCATAAATTTGCACATAAATTTCAAGATGTAATTGTTTTTATTCACTCTGTAGTACTCTACTGTGTAAGTATACCACAATTTCTTTTTCCATTCTTCTGAGGAGGGGTTGTTTTCAGGTTCTGGCTCTGACAATATTGCTGTGACCACAGTTGAGCATTTGTCCTTGTGGTATGATTAAGCATCCATTGAGTACATATCCAAAGGGCATGACTGGGTTTTATGATAAGTTGTTTCCTAATTTTCTTTCATTTTTTTTTTAATTTTTGGTTTTCTAAGACACGGTTTCTCTTGAGCTTTGGAGCCTGTCCTGGAACTAGCTCTTGTAGACCTGGTTGGCCTTGAAGTCACAGAGATCTATCTCTGGCTCCCAATGTGCAGGGATTAAAGCCATGCCTCACAACCCGGCAGGTGACTTTCTAATTTACGGAATAACCATACTGATATCCAAAGTAGCTGACTCAGTTTGTAACCCCATCAAAAATGCAGGAGTGTTCCCTTAACTCCACATCCTCTCCAGCTTAAGTTGTCATCAGTGTTTTGATCATGCCTATTGTTACAGATGTAAGAGGGAATCTCAAATTTGTTTAGATTTTCATTTCTCTAATGACTAAGGAGTTTGGAAATTTCCTTAAGTGTCTCTCAGTCATTTTAGATTCATATGTTAAAAGATTTTTTTTTAGGTCTGTACTCCATTTTTATTGGAGTACTCCATTTTTTATTTGATGATCAATTATTTAAGTTCTTTGTATGTTCTAAAGATCAGTCTTCTATCCAATGTGGTTTAGGTGAATATCTTTTCCCATACTACAGGCTGCCTTTTTTTGTATTGTTGATCATGTCCTTTGTTTTACAGAAACTTTTGCTTCAGGAAAACTCATTTATAATTTTTCTCAGTGTCTGTGATGCCTGGGGTTATAATTTGAAAGTGGTCCTCTTTACCATTGTGTTCAAGTGTACTTCCAACATTCTGTTTTATGTAGTTCAGTGTGTTTGTCTTTATGTTGTAGTCTTTGATCCATTGGGACTTGATTTTGTTCATGATGATAGATGTGGATCTACTTTCATTCTTCCCCACATTGATATTCAGTGATGCCATCACCATTTGTAAATATGTTTTCTCCATTTTATATTTTTTGGTGTTTTGTCAAAAATCAGGTGTAGTAGGTGAGTGGAGTGATGTCTGGGTCTTAAAATCAGTTCCATTAGTCCTCCTATCTGTTTTTGTGCCAACACCAGGCTCTCTTCAGTACTGCAGCTCTGCAGTCATCTAAAGAAGTCAGGGAATGTGATGCCTGCAGAAATTATTTTTTATGTAGGATTGTTTTGGTTATCCCACATTTTTTTGGCTTTTATATATGAAGTTGGGTGTTTTTATTTTGAGATCTGTGAAGAATTTTTCTGATATTTACATGGGAATGGTAGTGAGCCTGTAGATTGCTATGTTGATTTCTACCTAACAAGGGCAAAGGACATCTTCCCATTTTCTGGTGTCTTCTTCAAAGATTTAATGTTCTTTTCCAACAGTCCTTTCACTTCTTTAGTTGGTAATTCCATAATATTTTATATTATTTGTGGCTACTGTTAAGAGTGATGTTTCCATCATTTATTACTTCAAACCATCTTTCCTTTTCAGAAAATATTCCTTGTAACCACCTTCTATCTACCTTCCTGATGACCACTCCCAATCTTCTGATAACTATAATTATATTCCCAACTTCTAAGGATACTTTTATACAAAACCTACAAGTAAGCGTATGAGTGATTTGACTCTTGATGCCTCTCATATTTCAGTTAATGATATCCTTTGAGCTTAAAAACATTGTTGAAACTTTTAGGATTTTATGGTTCTGGTTTGAGAGCCAAGTTGTGTTTCTTTCACTGGGCCTTTTAATGTTTTGGCTGTTTTCAGGGAGATGTTGTTTCATTATCTAGTTCTGGATTCAGAGACAAAGTTCTTTCCTTTGGCTCTGGTTTGAAGACCAAAGTTGGAATACCCTTTCTGTAACTGAAAAGGATTTATCCATTACTTTGCTGGTTCAAACTAAAATAAAGAGTGTTATAATGATGCATGAACAAATTGTTGACATTTTCAAACTTTTTTCTACACAATAACTGATTTTTGTTAACTGACTGTAAGTGGCTTGACATCTAAAAGAACAATTTAAAAGAAGCACCCAGCTTTTTCATCAGGTCCAAAAGATTATGATAATATGCACAAGCTTTCTCAGATGACTACACACTAAGTCTTACTCTTATATAAAACACAAAACATTATGACACTGAATTCATTTATAGTTTCACTACAGTATGATTTTTTTCTCATATTTTTGAAAAGTATCCAAATTATCTTCAGGGTTTCTCTACAGAAGGGCTCATATTATGTATTTGGAGATAATTGTGAAAAAGAATTTACCACATTCCATTCACAGGTATCTCTAGAGTATGTTACATTTTAAGCCTTTGAAGAGTACAGGGGTCTGCAAAGGCCTTATCACACTGATATCATTCATAGGGTTTCTCTCCAGTATATGTCCTTCTATACATTTGAGAGCACCATGTTGAGCAAAGGCCTTAACACACTGATTACATTCATAGAGTTTCTATCCAGTATGTGCTCTTTTATGCCTTTGAAGATGACTGAGAAGGGCAAAGGCCTTACCACACTGGGTATATTCATAGGGTTCCTCTCAAGTATGTGTTCTTTTATGGCTTTGAAAATTACTGTGGTGTGCAAAGGCCTTACCACACTGATTACATTCATGAGGTTTCTCTCCAGTATGTGTTCTTTTATGCCTTTTAAGATCACTGTGACATGCAAAGGCCTTATCACAGTGATTACATTCATAGGGTTTCTCTCCAGTATGTGTTCTTTTATGTGTTTGAAGAACACTGTTTTGAGAAAAGGCCTTACCACACTGATTACATTCATAGGGTTTCTCTCCAGTATGTGTTCTTTTATGCACTTGAAGATTACTGTGTCGTGAGGAGGCCTTACCACACTGATTACATTCATAGGGTTTCTCTCCAGTATGTGTTCTTTTATGCCTTTGAAGATGACTGAGACGTGCAAAGGCCTTACTACACTGATTACAATCATAGGGTTTCTCTCCAGTATGTGTTCTTTTATGTGTTTGAAGAACACTGTTTTGAGAAAAGGCCTTACCACACTGATTACATTCATAGGGTTTCTCTCCAGTATGTGTTCTTTTATGTGTTTGAAGAACATTGTTTTGAGAAAAGGCCTTACCACACTGATTACATTCATAGGGTTTCTCTCCAGTATGTGTTCTTTTATGCACTTGAAGACTACTGTGTCGTGCAAAGGCCTTACCACACTGATTACATTCATAGGGTTTCTCTCCAGTATGTATTCTTTTATGCCTTTGAAGATGACTGAGACGTGCAAAGGACTTACCACACTGATTACAATCATAGGGTTTCTCTCCAGTATGTGTTCTTTTATGCATTTGAAGATGATTATGTCGTGTAAAGGCCTTACCACACTGATTACAATCATAAGGTTTCTCTCCAGTATGTGTTCTTTTATGTCTTTGAAGATCACTGTGCCATGCAAAGGCCTTACCACACTGATTACATTCATAGGGTTTCTCTCCAGTATGTGTTCTTTTATGTGTTTGAAGAACACTGTTTTGAGGAAAGGCCTTACCACACTGATTACATTCGTAGGGTTTCTCTCCAGTATGTGTTCTTTTATGCACTTGAAGATTACTGTGTCGTGCAAAGGCCTTACCACACTGATTACATTCATAGGGGTTCTCTCCAGTATGTGTTCTTTTATGCCTTTGAAGATGACTGAGACGTGCAAAGGCCTTACCACACTGATTACAATCATAGGGTTTCTCTCCAGTATGTGTTCTTTTATGCATTTGAAGATGATTATGTCGTGTAAAGGCCTTACCACACTGATTACAATCATAAGGTTTCTCTCCAGTATGTGTTCTTTTATGTCTTTGAAGATCACTGTGCCATGCAAAGGCCTTACCACACTGATTACATTCATAGCGTTTCTCTCCAGTATGTGTTCTTTTATGGCTTTGAAGATTACTGTAGTGTGCAAAGGCCTTACCACACCGATTATATTCAAATGTTTTCTCTCCAGTTTGTGTTCTTCTACGCAATTGAAGATGAATATGACGTGCAAAGGCCTTACCACACTGATTATATTCATATGGTTTTTCTCCAGTTTGTATTCTTTTATGTGTTTGAAAAACAGTACATTGAGTAATGTCTTTACCACACTGATTATATTCATAGGGTGTCTCTCCCGTATATATTCTTTTAATCTTTTGAAGATGGCTCTGATCAGCAAAGACCTTACCATGCAGATTACATTCATATGTTTTCTCTCCAGTATGTTTTCGTTTATGACTTTGATGAGTTACATACAGAAAGTCTTTATTATCTTGAACATATTCATAGGGTTTCTCTCCACTGTGTGTTCTCTTATGCATTTCACGATGATTGTGACAAGAAAAGACTTCATCACATTGCTTAATTTCACAGCATTTTTCTCCGCTATGTGTTTTTTCATTCCTTAGAAGATGAGTGTTATAAGACAAGACTTCACCACAGTGAGAATATACTGAAAACTTTTCTCCAGTTTGATTTCTTTCAATCCTGCAAGCAAAATTTACACATGTAAAAGCTTTACCACATTCAATGCAGTTGAACCTTATACCTATATGAATTAACTTCATATTTTTTCAAATTGTAAAAAGGAATCTAATATCAAGGTTTTATAGCTTTGTTTAAAATCATGTTTTGTTCTCTCATTGGGGGTCATTTTACATCTAGAAAAAATTTTTGTGATGATAAATTCCATTGTGTCATGGTTTATCTTTTCATCTATAACACTACCTATATTTTTCTAGGGTATTTTTTACATTTTTGAAGAGAACTGCATATACTGAGTGCTTTACCTGTTGTAATAAGAGCGGCGGGCTACGTTCCTGGCACCCACCCACTCATATTATGACAGAGTGGCTCTCTAACGTGACGGACTACATCCACTTAAAAACCTGAGAGGTCTTTAGAAAAGGGAGAGAGTTTAATACAGCTTTGGCTTTTTGTGGGTGGCTTGCCACAAAGAAGTTTTCCTGACTCAGCAGCAGGAAAAAACTGGCTGTTTTAAAATGCCGGCTTTCTGGGCTGTGCCGCCATCACCATATCTGTCTGGCTCCTGCTGGAGACAGAGCTTTTGAATGGAGCATTTGGAGTAAAGTGGTACACCTCGCTTGATGGCAATGTGGACTGCCGTGTGCCTGGAACTGTGAGGGCTCAGGGGCACCAAATGGCTCTGAGGCAGGAGAGGCTCAGCTCAAATATGCTGAACTATGCTGGTCTCAGCAGGAACTACCGTAATTACCATAATAATAGCATGGTTAAGGTTTAGACTAGGCAGGACTCAGGTGGTACCATATTACCTGTACATGGTGCAACTTAAGTTTTTAAGAACTGCTTAACATTTTAAGAAATGCTCCTGGATAGTAAAAAAAATTACAGATTCACAATAAAACAGATTCAGACATAAAAGACCACTAAATGAGTCACAGTGTTGGATGAATGTACGTAGGCTTGGGAGAGAGAAGAAAAAGAATATAAAGAATAAAGTTAATGTCTTTAAAGAAAGGGTAAAGTCTTTAAAGAGACAGAATAAAGTAAACTGATAGAGTAAAAATAAGACACATAAAAATGGAAAATTCACAGCGAGTCTGGATTCTTTGTATTATTGTGCTTTCTTTAAAATTTTTGACTGTACAGGAGCTAAGTACAGAGAGACATTTTATTACATGGGCTACCAAACTGAACCAGAATGGATTTCATAAGGGTATTATGAATTCAGAATTTTGGTTTAAGGATATGATGCTTTGGAAAGGAGTTTCTTCTTTTGTTTTCACAGAGGATGAGACCCTGTGGATTGTGTCTATCCCAATATGGTATGATCATGCCCTCCTGAGAGGTTGCTGTGAACACCTTCAGAAAATTACTTCACTCAACTGCCGACTGAGATGAACCTAGCAGACAGGTTATCCCATAAAAGACCTGAATAACAGCACCCCCATTCAGCAGGAAGCAGTTTGGAGAGAAAAAAACTGTGCCCATGTTCCCAAATATTGTTTATAAATGTTCTTTTACATTTAAAGTGGGATATGATATAGGTATGAATAATTTGCATTGGTGTGGATTTTAAGGTCAATTTTGTTATACGTATATGTATTTCAGTATCTTGATTAAGGTATTGTGATTGTGTAGTTCATTTTTAAAATGTAATGTATAATTAGGAAATACAGGTTGTTGATGGATAATCATAAATATTAGTCAAGCTTGTAGTCATGTTAGTTAGATATTCAGGTTATATATAGAGATATATTTCAGTTAGATAGGTATTCTTTATATCTTTTAAAGACTGCAGAATAAGAATATGGCATTTAAATGTTTTAATCCCTTAGGGCTTTTCATGACAATGAGACACATCTGCTCCTGGCAGCATCAAGCTACTTCAAGAGGAAGATGGGCATCGAAGAGGCTCCTTATGGAGTTTGATAGCCATTTGGGCAAGAAACTGCTCTTGCCTGGACTGTTGCATAAACTGGACACAGAGAACCTGCAGAGAAAGGACAGCTGAACTTGCCTAAAGGCAAGATGTTCTTTCGGGGTTCCTGATTCATGAAAGAGTCTGCAAGACATTCTGCAGGACACAGCAGAAAGTGACTGAACTGTCTTTGAAATTTCCTGCTTCATGGAAATGTCTGCTGAACACTATGGGTCTGAAGGCCGAAGACGGATGCCCCAACGATACAAAAGAACTTTGGGTGACTGTACAGGGAGCAAGATGTCTCTGTCATTTCTAGAGTTTTGGATTTCTTGTTTACTTAGGTAATATTATATCACTCTGGAGTCTTGATGGAGTTGAAGAATAAATAAATAGTTATAGTTTTCCTTAGTTATGATAAAAGATAAAATAGATATAAATATTGTAACTGTAATTCTTGCTTGATAACTGTTTTGCTATATGTAATTGTACTATGTTAAAGTTAAAGCCTTTCTTTTTTGTTTAAACAGAAAAAGGGGAAATGATGGAGGTGGGTCTTGCTTTCTGTTGCTATCTGTTGCTTTCATTGGTTAATTAATAAAGAAACTGCCTAGGCCCATTTGATAGGCCAACCCTTAGGTGGGTGGAGTAAAGAAAACAGAATGCTGAGAGAAAGAAGCCGAGTCAGTGAGTCGCCATGATTCTCCCATCAGACACAAACACAGGTTAAGATCCTCCCTGGTAAGCCAGCAGCCCAAGGTGCTACACAGAATATTAGAAATGGGTTAGATCAATATGTATGAGTTAGCAAATAAGAGGCTGGAACTAATGGGCCAGACAGTGTTTAAAAGAATACAATTTCCGTGTAATTATTTCGGACAATGCTAGCCATGCGGGTGGCCGGGTGCCAGGAACGTAGCCCGCCACTCTTATTACAACATTTACAAACATTACTCCATTCATAATTTTACTATATTGTGAATCATTATACATTTGGTAAGTGAACTAAGACACCCAGAAGTATTTGCATAGACCTAGAGCTCATGTTTGTTTGTTTGTTTTTGTTGTAATGTGAGTTTGTATTTATGTATTAACCATGATGATAGAAAATAAATTAACTTTGTATTTGTGGATCAAATTAAACATGTATAATCTACATAGGAACTACAGTTTATCTTCTTAATTGTTCTTAAGGAGAGGTAAGCTAAATATTTCCATATTCCTATTCCATATTCCTATGCTCATACACTTGTGTCAAGAGTGACATATCATATATATATATGAAAAAATCATATATATATATATGAAAAAATCATATATATATATATATATATATATATAAAAGAATAGTGTATAAAAGATTTCCAAAATGAATCCACAAGGTTCAACTTTCAGAGACTTGAGGTATAGATATTAAGGTTTTTCCACATCACTGCCCCTTGACCCTTGACTAATCTGATTTCACTAAACTTAGCACAGTCACAAAAAGTATATGAGTGATACAAGGCTTACCATGGGCTATTGAATTAGTAGAAAGTTTTGCAGCTATACTCATCATCATTGAAATATGTATACATTTTCTGTCATGAATAGCAAGAAGCAAATGAAGCAGCAATTCTACAACATAGCTCTCATGATGCTATGAATCAAATGGTGATATCTGTTTAGGCATTGCTACCTAGACTTTTTCTTAAATGAAGGCTTTGCAGATGCAATTCATATACAAGAAATTGAGGTATATGGATTTGTGAGAACTTAATAACCATCAATATATTTAAAGCTGTGCTTATTTACACTTTTGCTTTTGTTTTAAAGTTCCAGAACACATTACAAACTATTTAAGGGAAATTGTTATGAACTTGCCCAAGAAAATTACCTTGCATGTCTTCTAGAACATTTACAATGCTCTTTGGTGTTAAGGTCTTCCCAAAAGTATCCTAAAATACAGTACCAGAATAGAAGTTATATTATTTAAGAATGTGCAACAATTAGCTTATTATCTTAAGTGCACCTAAAAACTGTGACTGTGTTATTCACCCCATTATTCTTTCTCTAAAACAAATTACAGAACAAAATTATAAACCAAGGAAAAGTTGTCTCCATATTTTGAAACATGAAAGAAATTCATTTTCACCTATAGTAGTTAGGTTCCAGTAGGTCTCCAGCATCACATCTTTGTAGAGATTCTTCTGGGAAGGATTCAGTAAATCCCACTCTTCCTTAGTGAAGTTGATGTGCACATCATCATAGGTCACTTCCTTCAAAAATATACCATATATGAGTACAGTGTAAGTATGACAGTAAAATGCATACTTCTTTGACAGTATAGTTTTACGATTCTGGTGTTCCCCATTCTTGTTCCATGACATAGACAGTCACTTTAGAAGGAAATTGAAAAGGAGAATCAATTCTGTTATTTCTGTGTCATTTGTATAGGATACCTCCTTATATGAGCAGTATCTATTCATGGGGAAAGAAAAAGAGAAAAGATCAACAGTATGTTGTATGCATGAGAAAATTAATGCCTACAGAAAGGAAAAAAAAGATGGGCAAACTGGGCTTATTGGTGTATTTTGCCTTTACCACAATGCTCAGCAAACAGAGGTAGGTATATTTGTTTCTGAGATGAATGCCAGTCAAGATTTAACAGAACTGCTTATCCATTTTTGGATACCATGTATTTTGTCAGAGGTTGAGGCATGAGCATGTCTTTGCCCAAAGGCCAGTTTTGACAACAAGAAAACAAGCTTTGAGTGTCTCCGGTGCTCAACATTCTCTGGAAAATAGACAATGCTACCAGTAGTAATTGTGTCTCACTTCAACAGTACCCTAGGTTATGTAAAATCCATATTTTACAGCTCTTTGAAGTGGCTGATTTACCTATCTATTCAACATATATTCTTCATGTGTGTGAAAAACCTGATTATTCTAACTATAAGTAAGACAAACATAGATGACTATTGATCTATAATTCTAATACCTATATAACTTAAAGACTAAGACTTCATATTAGAATATTGTACAATAAACAACTGTACAACAAATGAGGACAATGGGCTCAAAATGTAACCAATGAATAGGTATCTTGATCAGTGGAAGAAATGTACATTGCAATTTGATAAATATATTTATTAATATATAAAATGTTTTAAGCATTGGTAGAAGCATGAATGCATACAATATTCAATATTTAACATTATATCAACATACAAAAATCTATATCAAAGCAATTGCCTATAAATTATAACTCACAAGAATTCACTCTCTTACTTATTATTAATGTATGTAAACTCACACTATCTTATTCCATCCAATTTTCCCTTTTTTTTCAAAGAAATCCCTGAGCCCATAAAATTTCCCTTCCAACCCACAACCCTATACCAATTATAACCAACCCCTAAATGATGTCCCTAACCCTAGGACAAACTTTGTTGGGAGAGGGGATGTAGTCTTTTAGAATTACTTCCAGCTGTCATGGGGGCGATGTTCTTTCTATGGGATCCTGCGAAACTAAAATGATGGTTAAGTTCCAAGATTACTGTCTGGTATAACTGCAAATAGTCTCTGAGTATTATGTAAAGTTTTTCTGATCTTCTTCTTATAAGGTCTGTCCAGAACATTGTAAAAAGTGGACCATTTCAGCTAACCAGGTGGGAACCATCTTGAGCAGCTGGTATGTAAAACACGTCTGGTAGTAGCACTATCATCATCATGCCATTGTATCAACCAGGTTGAGTTGTTGTTGTGGGGCCCCAACTTCTTCCTGAAACTTCAGAAATTACTGCAGGAAAATTCATTGTGCATTGTGGAAAACTGAAACATTATTTATAGTCATATACAGACATATATATTCAATGACATGTACAATAGACTTGAAAGTAGAAATGTAGAAAAGTGAAAATTTTTCTAAATTCTTCTTTTTGTCCCATGATCCTGACATTGAGAGAGAAACTCTGAATTTTTATTTTAATGACATGCTTGGATTTATAGAGGGACAGAGCCAGTGTCCATCTCCAAAACCAGCTCTATATATTCATAAATATACATCCACTTACAAAAGGCACCCAATGAAATGATAGGATAAAAGTGTACATTACTGAATCTAAAAAAAAAAATAAAGAGGCATATATGTGTATGATGTAAAAGTATAGATCATTAAAATTAATTTAAAAAGGCAACTACTTATTTATATATTTTATATTGATATAGATATGGATGCTCCCTTTTGATATAAACTTGACATTTTTATCAAAACATACTGTCTATGATTTTTATATTCTTACTCAAACCATTTTATCTAATTTAACTCACTTAAACATGTAATGAAAATTTCTAGTCCTTGAAAGTTATTATTATAAACCAATTAGGATATAAAGTACTGGATGTTAGTACTTTGTTATTTATTACAATGGAAATTATACTCAAGTTAGGTATGTTTTCAACATTATATGGAATGTCATTAGCTGATTCAAATGTAAATACTTTAGAGAAAATGGTTGGTGAAGTAAAGCAAACTTTGTCTCCTTGGGAATTACTTCTGAAAATATACAAAAAGGTGATTGTATTAATTATTCAGCATATAAAATAGTGTTATAAAAATTTGAGCCCAAAAGTTAAAAATTAGGAGAGGTTATATGTGGAATCTTAACAAATTTCAGAAATTGTTGCAAGACATTGACCATCTATATCCCATTATTGGAGTAAAAAATTGAAAATAGTAATTAGAACCAAACCATAAAAGGTGACAAGTCAAAGAGAATTATCATCTAAAGCAGAAAAAAATGGTTTAGTAGAAATAAAATTATAAAAGGTACTTATGGATTGTTTGGATCTGGAGTTTGGTTACATTCAAGACTTTTTTTTGATACAGGTTTCTATGTAGCTTTGGAATGTGTCCTGGAACTACCTCTTCTAGTCCAGACTGGCCTTGACCTCCACCTGCCTCTGCCTCCCAAGTGCTGGGATTAAAGGCTTGAGCCACCACCTCCTGGCCGTCATTCTAGACATTTTATGCTCTATGCATTCCCTATAGGTATTTTACTGCAGAGGAAAGATATTATCTTATAATCGATATTTTAAACATATAAACATACTGAAAGACTAAAAAGTTATGTGGAAAAAGAAACTGAGTTGTTTTTAAAAAGAAAACTGAAACTTCGTCTATTAGCAAGAATTTACCAAGGTTAAATTTTAGCATGTTTAGTCCAGTGCTCCAGTGTGGGTCTCTGTCTCTATCTCCATCCATCACCAGATGAAGATTCTATGATGATATGCAAGATATTCGTCATTATTGCTCTGGAGCACTGGACTGAGCTCCCAAGGTCCCAATGAGGAGCAGAAGGAGGGAGAACATGAGCAAAGAAGTTGGGACCACAAGGGGTGCACCCACCCACTGAGACAGTGGAGCTGATCTATTGGGAGCTCACCAAGGCCAGCTGGACTGTGACTGAAAAAGCATGGGATAAAACTGGACTCTCTGAACACGGCGAACAATGAGGGCTGATGAGACGCAAAGGACAATGGCACGGGGTTTTGATCCTGCTAAATATGCTGGCTTTGTGGGAGCCTAGCCAGTTTGGATGTTCACCTTCCTGGATATGGACGGAGGGGGGAGGACCTAGGACTTACCACAGGGCAGAAAACCCTGACTGCTCTTTGGACTGGAGAGGGAGGGGGAAATGAGTGGGGGGAGGGGGAGAAGGGTGGGAGGAGGGGGAGGGAAATGGGAGGCTGGGAGGAGGTGGAAACTTGTTTTTTTTTTTTCCTCCTTTTCTCAATAAAAAAAATTTAGCATGTTTTACTAATGTTGAAATTGAATCATTATGGACAGGAAGTGAACATTGGCAAAGAGCTTACAGTAATTTCTTGGGAGAAATTAACAACAAATATCTCTTTAGCCATAATATTAGTGATCATATAGGGAAATAACTATTTCTAGGGAAAGGTTTCATCTAGCTTCCTGTATTTAATTTTGGGTTTGAGTCTCTCTCTGATATCTACACATACATAACAAATACTCATCTTTAACCTCTTACAGATCTGCTGCATATGACAATTAAAATGATTAAGTTTTTTGCAATGAAATATGAGCATGCATTACAGTGACTCTGAAGTCTCCAAAAGAAGTGTGAGTCACGCAAGGAAGATTTCAACTGCACTATGTAATTGTTTCACCATCTAAACACCAGGTTTGGACTACACACTGCTCGGGACAGTATCAAAATGGTACACTGAGATGATTGAGACACCTGGGAACATATGTTTTAATTAAGCAAACAGTTCATTTTGGAGGTTTGAGGAAGAGATGATGGGCAAAAACACAGACAGATTGAATGACAGAATTGAATCAAAGACCCAGATATTAATCCTCACACCTATGAACACCTGATTTTTGACAAATAAGCTAAAATTATACAATGAAAAAAGAAAGCATCTGCAACAAATGGTTATGGCATAACTGGATATCAACATGTAAGGAATGCAAATAGATCCATATCTATCACCATGCTCAAGTCCAAAGGGGATAAAGACATTAATATAAATCTGATCACACTGCAACTGAAAAGAGAGAAAGTGAGGGCTGGAGAGAAGGCTCAGCCGTTAAAAGCTAGGCTCACAACGATAAATATGAAGAGAAAGTGAAAAGTAGCTTAACAAGCATGGAACAGAAGACCACTTCCTAAATATAACACCTGAAACGCAGAGTCTGAGAGGAAAAATAAATAAATTGGACCTTCTGAAACTGAGAAACTTCTGCAAAGCAAAGGACACAGTCAATAACACAATAAGGCTGCTTATTGGATGGGAAAATAAATTTCCAATCCCATATAAGATAGAAGACTGATCTCCAAAATATATAAAGAACTCAAGAAATTAAACATCAAAATTTCAAATAATTCAATTAAAAATGGGGTACAGAACTAAACAGAGAATTTTCTATAGAATAATCTCAAATGGCCAAAAGACACTTAAGGAAATGTTCAACATCCTTAGCCATCAGGGAAATGCAAATCAAAATGACTCTGCAATACCACCTTACACCTGTCAGAATGGCTAAGAACAAAAACACCAGTGACTGCTTATGCTGGAGAGGATGTGGGAGTAAGGGGAAGACTCTTCCATTGCTGGTGGAAATGCAAATTGTACAACCACTCTGGAAAACAGTATG